TCGCAGCTTAAGTACAGTTTTTTGTTTTACGCCGTTTTTTCCCGAACATCACAACATTCTGATTGGTCACTTGCAATGTTGATCCTGGAACATTTAGTATGATGATCTGGGAACAACACCAACACGACGATATCAGATCGTGCCTATAAGACTGTGGTAACTAGCGGCTCTGCCCGCAGAGCTGCTGATCCACATCCGTGTTTTGGCGATTAATGAGGGTCTCACACAACTGATCCAATCACAGCTTGCTGACGAAGGTCTGAGGGCTTCAGCGGTGACAGCCTTCGGCTCGCTCGGCTTCTTTGGCCTTTCACTGATTTTTTTAAAAAAGGCCTGGAAGCCGAGAATGAGTCACAGGTAATTATATTTATTGTGTGCAGGTGGTAAAATAATGAAGGACAACTTCAGAATAATCCACACAACACATAATCATTTATTATTGCTTCTACACAACTGGGGGGAAATGCATGAAAAATAATGCTCAGCGGCAGAGCGGCCGCACGCTGAGAGCACAGCGAGCGCTCTGAGCTGATGATGATGTGAGCACGAACGTGGCTCCAGGACAGCGGTTAGCTGGACTGTTAAACATAGGAGTCTGACTCACTGCTGGAGCCTCTGCTGGACGTCGGAGGAACTGCAGCGCTGACACAAAAGCTCACTGAGATCGGGGTCGTCCGTTAGGCCGGCCGGGGTCTCTCGGTACCTCACGATTGTGTTTCACCAGCTTGGAGCTGGAACGCGACCTTGGAGGAAATGAAAAATGAGCCTCCGTAACATCAGAATCACACAGCATGCCGTTCTCCCATTTGGATTCTTCAGACATTTGGCTGACGGTCTCACTCTGAGCGACTTCAGCGCTCAAGGACGCTCGCCGAGCCAAAACATCTGATAAATGACTCAAATCTGACAAAGTCAGACAGAGAGCTCTGTGTCTGGATCCAGTGGAAATGCTCTCAGTGCAAATCTGTCCCCACATCACAGCATAATTGAATTGTGCTATTGGATTTCACTCAGTTGTGCTCGGCTATCAGAGAGAATATAATGAAGCACTCATTTGAGCAATGAGTGCTGCCAGACGCTCGGAGCTGCACACGATGACACTGAGCCGCTCGCCTCGGTGCGGGAGCCGCCAGAGGAGCGCCGGGTCATGTGACTCACACCTGCGACAGGTCATGTGGTTCACACCACGGGCCTAGAGACAGCACGGTGAGGCTAAAGCACCAGACCAAGATTCAAGAGGACTAACTCCATATTTCTAGGCTTCAACTCTACTAGATCAGCTTTGCATGATTCACAGCCCAAAATAATCCTTCTTTATCTGACACTGGGCCAGTGTCTTCCGATTGGCTGTCCCTCACAAACATGATTGTTTGCAAAGATGGGCGTGTCTCCAGTCTGCCAATGATGAAAATGCAACACCAGTAACAAAAACATCAGGATGTTGTGTACAATTAAAAAAATGTGAATAAATGTGAATCAGATATGAATCTCTGAGATCAGGCTTTATGTTTTTATTCATTGACACAGCGTCCCGACGTTTCTGGAACCTGGTTATAGATCCTTGTGTGCTTGTTTGTGGCTGATGTCATTTGTTGTTAGTAGTAAGCCTCATGTGACGGATTCACATATTCACTGATTATGAAATGGGAGCGGTTCATCATAACTGAGCAGTAAAAAATTACTATAACGTGTACTTGATGTTTCCACACTCACAGACACTGGCTCTACGGTTAAGATTCAAACTTTCCTTTTTGCTAAAGCATATAGTTAGGGCTGGACCAGGTGACCCTGAATCCTCCCTTAGTTATGCTGCAATAGGCTGCCGGGGATTCCCATGATGCACTGAGTGCTTCTTCTTCGCTCACTATGTGTTATCAGACCTCTCTGCATTGAATCGTTAGTTCTTATTGATCTCTTTAAAAATGACAAAGTCTTGATCTTTGGACGTAGCTGGTTCCCTGGTGTCCTCTGCCCTCCTCAGACAGGAAGTAGTTGGGAGTACAGGAGTCTGAGGCCGCTCTGCTGAGCACACAGAAACTGTCCAATGAGCACCTGCAGAATCTGAAGTTGAGGTCTAAATTCACTAAACCGCTGTGAAGTGGCTGCTCCAGCATGAACTGCAAATTTGTAACGAAACTCTGTCATTTCAGAAAGTCGGCATCAAAACAAAAATAATCCTCAGACTTGCTGAATCGTGATGTTCGCACATCGCAAAGCGACTGAAGAGAGACTGAGAAGGGTTTTTTCTCCTGCAGGCAGTCCTGACACACAGATGGCAAATCTCACTCTCACAGCATCTGACTGACAAGAACGATGCTCAGCGAGCATGAAAGTGAGAATGAGAGCAGGTGCGCTCACCTGGTGTTCATACAGCAGCCCAACATACAAACAGCGTGGTTTCTCCAGCTCTGGGGTAATCTTAAAAACCTCTAAGGCTGCTGAAGAGACTCATGGTGTCAAAATGTTTTGGTGTGATTTCAGTAAAGGCCGTCTGCAACATCCACGGGACTGCTCTGACCTGTCGATAACATTTCAATTAAACCGAGCTTAGTGTGTGACTGAACCGTTAGCGTGGCCGTGATGCCATGTTACATACAGCAGCACAGTGCTAGCTGAGTGACGTCAGCAAATACAGGAAGTAACCACCGTGACCTTTACACTCACGTCGTGTTAATGAAAGTTTCATGGATGTAAAAAGAAGGGGGCAGGCTCATCCACTGTAGAGCTCCGCCCCCAGGCTGAAATGATGCAATAAATAGTTTTAAAGTGTCTCTGTGGATATTTTGTTGACTCCATTTACATACAGGGGAGATTTACACATACGTGGCTTCACCTCTTGCCCCCCACGCCTGTGTAAAATTTTCTAGATCCGCCACTGGGCTCAGTGAAACCAGGAAACAACATCGCCAGACAAACCCTGACATGGAAGCTGCAAGTGAGGAGAGAGGAGACCTTTTTGGAGACCTCCAAATGACAGACCCACAAAGGCTCACTTTGGAGGACGCTCACCGACGGCCAATGATGGGTGTCGGGCTTAAAACAGTAAGGACGTGGCACCCTGCAGTAAGCAGCTGCTCAAACACTACATTATATAAGTTAACTTTCACACTTTGTTGTGTCTGTAAAGTTATTCAGTTATTAAACCAGGTCCACATGAATCCATCCCAGGAGAAGTGTGAGTGTTATTTTTATCGCGGTCTGACAGTGAGCTTCTTTAATGACTTAACTGTCAGAAAAAGTCGTCATTCTTCTGTGAAACTCCAGCAAACTCACAGCCCACAGAGGTCGAGTTCACTGTCACTGAAAAGCCAGGACACATTCAGTTTTTGGAGGTTAAACGTGATTCTCGAGTGAGCGGGCTGGTTTCTGTGACGATGAATAGTTTCTGGATTTCTGCATTGAATCCTCGTAAAACATCGTCTGATATTCAACATAATTTTAGACAAACAGAACAACAGCACACTCCTAACACAGAAGTGCACAGTGATGTGTTTGAAGGGGAAAAGCTCTGAAAGATGAGAGAGATAGCCTTTATTTGTCAGTTGCAGGTCTTTTGCCCACAACCGAGATGACAGACCTTGCCGACCGTACATACAATACAAACATCACATTGGGGAGACAGGTCAGGCCAGGTAGCGAGGAAAAAAACATTGAAATGTGCAACACAAAAGGATAATACAGGAATGCACAGGTATCAACACACCATAACACAATAAACACAGACAGCAACATGGGAAACATGGGAACAGCAGAACCTCACATGAACCTCACAGTTTCATAGTTTCAGGATCGCACCAGGGTCCGGATCAGAACCCTGTAGGTCAGTAAACATCAGTAAACATCATGGGAGTCAGTTTGGTGGGATTAGAAGCGGCTCCCTGGCAGCTGCATTTACTATCAATAACAATAAAAACTGATCTACAGATCAAAGTCATACTGTGAACCTCGCTGCGTCAGTTTCAGCACTTTGCGTCGTTCGACAGTTTCTTCTTTTTCAGCCATGCTGTTGATGACTGACGCTGATCTTTGTCCCACTTTCTTGTTCCTCCCACAGACGAACGTGGCTGCTGTGGCCTCTTCACTGGTGTTGTGGTTTGAACTTCCAGGTTTTAAACAAGGCCTGGGTTAATAAACTGTGCGACTGTTGGTCGAAGACCGAGGAAGAGGAGAGGGGCATGGCAGGTTAGCAGGCAGCGAGAGAGAAGGAAAAGCAGGAGAGCAAGGACTCTAAATGTGGGAACTATGACCAGCTGATTGGAGCTGCTCGGCAGTCTGAGGAGGTCTGTGGGTGTCATGAAGGACGACATGCAGAGGGTGATGGGGGCAGAAGATCTGCTGTGGCGAGCCATAATGGGATCAGCTATTTTGAATTTACAAGTCAGATATTTGATGTGAGATGCCTCCTGGATGCCATGTTTCTGACATGTGCCTCTGGGAAGGGGCCTCGGCAGATCCCGGACACACTGGAGAGATTCCGTCTCTCGGCTTTGGTGGGAACTCATTGGTGTTACTCAGAAGAGTCGGAGGAGTCCTACTACCTGGACTACCTCATTTATCTGGATTTATCCTAACATTAGCGATCAGCTTGGTTATAAACTCACTAACTAACCCACGGTTTAACCTGCGTTCAGATGAAAGAGGACTGTCAGCAGAGTGTTTGACAAAAGAAGCAGAAACCATCATATCAGAAAAATATGAAGAGATTAAAGACACAGTACAAGTATGTGAGTGTGTCTCTGTCTGTGTTTGTGTATCTGTGTGAGTGTGTGTGCGTCTGTGAGTGTGTGTGTGTGCAGCAGGTGAGTATTAGACGCTCTGACTGAACGCGTCTCTGCGCTGTTGTGTCTGTAAAGGAGCTGCTGTGTTAATAAAGCTGCGCCTGTTTGAAGCCGTGACGTTTCTAATCAGATATTAGATGATTGGATGTTTTACACGCAGGTTTGGTTCTGTTCTCTGTTTCACACGTTACAGCTGAAACTCGTCATTTCCACCAAAAAGCGGACAATGCGGCTCGTCAGAGAAGCGCGAGGACACCAGAGGCTGCTGCTGTCCGCGCGCACAGGTCCGAGGGATCTTCGGGAATGATGACGCCATTTACGCGGAGAACTAATTGGTTCTTAGGCGCTTCTGTCACACCTGTTGATGTGTAACGAGTTACGGTGGCGGTAAGACCCGGAGTTTGGCTGAAGTTACCTGGATGCCCGGAAGCGGGAAACGTGATTTTAACGTGAGTTTCTGAGGACACAACGGGAGGAAGCGGGCACCGAGCCTCACGCTCCCGTTCACGGTAACGGTCCGTGAGCCGGAGCACGCGCAGGCTGTTTGTTCGGCTTGTTTTGGCAGCACAAGCCCTGCGCTGATAATTACACAAACGCGCGTGGGCGGCGTGAGCGCGCGTGCGTGGATGAGCGAGAGAGAGCACGAGCGAGAGAGAAAGAGAGATAGAGAGAGGGTGCTGGTGGACCGTGAGGACCGCGCGCGCAGAGCTCCTCTCCTCGGCTCGTGTCGACTCCTCTCGCCGCCTCTCTTTGATCTTTTTCGGCCACTTAGTGCGCAGAAGCCCGGGAGCCTCCACGGAGTGCGCGAGCCCGCAGACAGGTGTGCACGGCGCAGTTATCGGAGCGGTCTATCGTCACGGGCTGTGACATCAGAGCCGCGCGTGGGCGGCGGGCTGCCGTTACCAGAGGAGTTACCGAGGAGTTACCGGAGTGTTGGGGCTCGCGGGGCCGGGATGGTACTCGTGCAACAAGCGGCAGGCTCGCGCGGCGCGGATGCCGTGGCTCCTCGCGCGGGATCCCAGCTGTGCCGGTGAGCGGGTGCTCTCTCTGCGGGGCGCGGGCCGGCCACGAGCCGCCGGATTTACGGACCTGTCCCGAGAACAGTCCCCTCGCGCCTCCTCGCGCTCCTGCGTTTTCCCGCTGCGTGACCGCACGGACCCCGGCGCCGGCATGGGCGGGCGCTCCGGCCTGCCCCTCCGCGTGCTGTGGATACTCCACGCGTTCCTGGACCTTGCGGGCTCCCAGGAGATTTACGCGCCGCACTCCATCCGCGTGGAGGGCGACGTGACGCTGGGGGGGCTTTTCCCGGTCCATGCCAGGGGGGTCCCGGGGACGCCGTGCGGGGACATCAAGAAGGAGAACGGCATCCACCGGCTGGAGGCCATGATGTACGCGCTGGACCAGATCAACGGCGACGATGAGCTTCTGCCCAACGTCACGCTGGGCGCGCGGATCCTGGACACCTGCTCGCGGGACACGTACGCACTGGAGCAGTCGCTGACGTTCGTGCAGGCGCTCATCCAGAAGGACACGTCGGACGTGAGGTGCACCAACGGGGAACCTCCGGTGTTCGTGAAGCCCGAGAAGGTGGTGGGGGTCATCGGGGCCTCGGCCAGCTCCGTGTCCATCATGGTGGCCAACATCCTGCGCCTGTTCCAGGTATGAGTCAGTGTCACACCTGCGCAGAGACGCACACACACATCTCCCTCATAAACCCACAGTGTGAGTGTGTCAGAGTGTAATGACTCCTGCAGACAGAAGAACACGTTTCTGCTGGATTGAGTCGTGCAGGTGAAGCTGTGCGCGCGCGCGCTGGTTTCTGGATCATGTTAATGATGCAGGTTCTGGTCGTGTTCCTCGAGCTGTTCAATCAATCTTTAGTGTGTTTGTGTTTCAGGTTTATCTGCTGCTGCACTCTCGGTGTGCGTGTGCGTGTGTGTGTGTGTGTGTGTGTGTGTGTGTGTGTGTGTGTGTGTGTGTATTTTCGGGCTTCTTTATTCTGTGTGTGTGTGTGTGTGTGTGTGTGTGTGTGTGTGTGTGTATTTTCGGGCTTCTTTATTCTGTGTGTGTGTGTGTGTGTGTGTGTGTGTTGCTGGGTTTTGAAACAGAGGTGATCACTGAGCTCCCTCTTGGGTGGGGTTTGATTGAATCGCGTGCTAAATAAGAAAGACTTTTAAAGTTTTTGTCATGAGAGAATTTTTGGTGTTCAAAAAGGTGAGAAATGTGTAAGAAGAGCTGGAGGCTGACAAATCCAGGAGGCAAACCACACAAACGTTCAGTGCATGAAAAACCACATCCTGGCCTTTGTTTTCCTCCCCAGGACAGGCTGAGGGGGGTTGTGGTCCTCACAGGGTTAACCCTGATCATCTGGTTTTACTGCCACGCTAACTCTGACCCCCTCTGTTTGAATTCTCTCACTGCCCTAACCTGAGAGGGGCATCGGGGGTCTGGTGGCGCCTTCAGCTGGCTGTGATCCCCGGGTTCGGATGGTGTGGTTGGTCAGGTCGGTAGCAGAAGCCCCGCAGGTGAAAGGGAAACGGACGAGCAGCTGTTAGAAGGAAAAGGTCAACGAGGCTGTAAGAAAAACACCAGCGAAGAAGAAGTGCCTGGCGTTTGGAGCAGACGTGACAGAAGCTGACAGTTGTGCCGGGTCTGAATGTGTCGCAGTGGGTTCAGTGATTTCTGACTGGATGAGCTGAGGTGCTTTAAATGGAGGATTTTTCTGAAAACACCTGCTGTGTCCGTGTTTGCTGAAGGGATGAGAGGCGAGGGGCAGCCAGCGGACGTGCAGAGATTTAATGAGGAGGGTTTTTGGATTGTGAGGATGGAGTTGAGCTCAGATCAGTGTGAGCTGATGAGAGAGGGAGGGCTGGGTCTGCCTGTTGTACAAACCACCGTCTCCATCGAGCGCTGCTCAGGCGATCTGCCTGTATTTCCAGGTGTATCACTTTAAGCCCGCCTCTCTGTATCTGCTCGTGTTGTGTTAGAGGTCTTCAGGACCATCGACGTTCCGTCTTAAAGACGTTGTAAATCCACTTCACCCTGCTGTGTGTGTCACTGTGTTACTGCTGCTATAATCTGTGTGGCTGTATGTGATTCAGCTCCCGGCAACACCGAGCTGCATGAATTCATCCAAACTTCAGCTTGTAGTTTAAATGCTTAAAGACTTTTTTACTCCTGAAAGTCTGAGCCGAGGATTGTCCTGCTGATCTGCCTGCATCTCCCTGCCCTTCACACCGATTGGTCTATGTATGTGTGATGTATATATATATATTTATTTATGTGTGTGTGTGTGTGTGTGTGTGTGTGTACACACTTGTGAATAGATAAAAACTGGGCTAAAAACACCACAGCACTTTACAGGAAGGGCCAGAGTCGTCTCTATTTTTTGAGGCGACTGAGGTCCTTCAGCATCTGCCAGAAAATGCTGAGGATTTTCTATGAGTCTGTGGTGGCCAGTGCGATCCTCTATGCTGTTGCATGCTGGGGGAGCAGGCTGAGGGTCGCAGATGCCAACAGACTTAATAAACTGATCCGTAAGGCCAGCAATGTTGTGGGGATGGAGCTGGACTCCCTCAAGGTGGTGTCGGAGAGGCGGATGCTGTCCAAGATAAAGACAATGTTGGATAACACCTCCCACCCACTCCATGACATGTTGGTCAGTCACAGGAGCTCGTTCAGTGAGAGACTGAGATTACCGAAAAGCACCACTGAACGACACAGGAAATCATTCCTGCCTGTGGCCATCTCCCTGTACAACGCATCCACTTAACACACTGTTTGCTGCTACAACTACACATGTTTCTTTTCCAGCTATTTATTTATAAGTGACTTATGTATGTATGTATGTATATATATGTATATATTGTACTATTCTTAGTTAGCGTATTGTCTGTCTTGTCTTAATGTTGGTTTAAAATGGAGCACTGTAACAAAAAATAATTTCCCCCAGGGATCAATAAAGTATTCTGATCTGATCTGACCTGATAAGGAAATCTTCACAGTAATGTGACTGTTGACATGTGTTTGGGGAAGGCAAATGGGATATTGCACATGAGTTAGCTGATGCTAAAGAGTTAGCATAAATGTTAACCTTGCTGATGCACACGATGATGTTAGCTGATAGCCACAAACCCAGCCTCGGGGCACTAAGCTAGTGTGCTCCTAGTGCCACATAAACCCGTATAATTGGAGGGTTGTGTGAGGAAGAGCAGCAAATGAGACGAGAGGCCATCTTTCTTCTTGAGCTGGTCTGTCCTGGAGGTCAGCTGAGTTACGAGGTGAAGCACCGTTAGTTGTGTTTGTTGTGTAGCGCTAACCTGTTTTAAGCCATTTACTTGTCAACTCTGAATCCTTTTCTGTAATCTGGGTCATTTGATCTTCTTGACTTTTCTGTTTGAGCCAAACCAAGGTTGCAGGTTTGAAACCTGCCCTGCGGTCCAGATCAAACAGCTGATCTGATGACGTGTTTATGACGGCTATTGTCTCTTTTAGCTGTTGTGAGTGTAAATTTCCTTGTGAGCAGGTTGACGGTTCGGTCACGCTGGACAGCACGACTAGGAACAACTGGCGGTCGGTCGATGGTCATTTTTTCTGCTGGCGACCAACTGCAAGTAGTTACAGCAACTAACTGTTCACCCAGACGTTGTGAGAGATTCAGCCTCTGGGTGAATGCTTTCAGTCACACGGTGACTGCACAGGTCACCTGACGGGAGGCAACCTGTCTCCAAACAGTCGCGGTCTGACTCAGGCTGACTGCAGCCGCTCTTGCAAATAACCACAGTCTGATTATTGAATGCAGACATGTATCCCGAGTGACTGTGAGTGGTCACACGCCTGGTCTTCAAAGCAACCATTCTAATTGTGGCTGAGCTGTGCTCTCCAGCCATTAGCGTTAGCAATGCTGGTGCAAGGAGGGAGAAGCCTCGGCGCCATGATGGCGAACAACAAATCAGGTTCAAAGTTTTGTGCCCAGACTCGGCAGCTCGCACTCAGGTGGGCTGGAGGGATTTGGTGAAAGTGGACTGTTTAACGTTGCACCTCAGGAACATCTGTTAGGTGTCTGTCGGTCTGGATCTGGAAAGGTCATCATCAGCTCGTGGCGCTGTCTTTAAAACATGACCTCACCTCAAGCTTTTAAAACACACAAGCGTCCTGTGAGTTTATGGTTATTGTAAACGGCGGTCGATGATGTGGTTTCAGATGGGCTGGTGATACTTGAATGTGTGAAGGAGGCCTTGTTTGGTTTTTAGTGAAATGGCGTCTGGCGTCCTGTCAAAGCTGGTTGGTCACCCATCCGCTGTTGGAGCACGACACCGTGCTGTTTGTGGTCAATAACATGAAGTATCGTGTACGTATACACCAGCAAGAGAGTGCAGATTCATATTAAGCCTTATATGATGAATAGTAAGCTGTTATAATAACCGTGCAGCTCCACGAGCCGTGGACAGACGGCTTGTAGCACGCTGATGTAACGCTGCTTTGTTGGATTTGTGAAGCTTTGAGCCTTTTTTCAAACGTCGTTCAGTCTTTAAGGTGCTTTAAGGACATGAACGCCAACGTGCTGTTCATGTCACACTCCGTCACGCCGTCTCCACCAAGCTCTCACTTCTGTTGATAATATCGATCACAGAGTCTGCTACCGCAGTGAAACTGGGCCCGCTGATAATGTTTTGGCGTGCGTTGGACGTGTTAGCATTTCTTTGTGAGGCACAGTTTCACAGCTTAGTAACTTCTGTAAGCTTTTCAGAGCTTTGGCTCTCAGGCCGGCCAAACCTCCACCAGTTGAAAACAGATTTTGAAAAGAACTTAATGGGCCCGAGCTCAGGATGTTTTTAATAACAGACGCTGAAAAGCTGATTCTCAGTGGGAGCACAAAGTGTTTCTTCTATCTCAGACATTTCACAGCACGAAAATGTTTTTTTGGGAGATGCTAAAAAACTGGCTCGACATCAAGTTTGGAGTCATATGAAGATAAACAGAAATGCTTTTTAATTTTTCAGTTAAATGTTGCTCAAGGAAAATATTTGGTGAGCAGTTTAAGAGGAATCAAATGAATTTAAACCATTGACGTCTCTGTTGTCAGGGACGCATTTCTGCAGGTTTAGCTGAAGGTAAATGAGTCAGACGGAGGAGGGACGGTCTGACCCCCTCTGTTCGAATTATCGAGAGGGTAATTATTTTGCCTGTGATGGAAAAGTCATCTGTTCCACAGCTGTTTCCACTTCATTAAACCCCTGATGTTCCTAAATGGCCTAGTTGGCACCAGAGTCACATCACAGACACATTAAGGCCTCGCTCCCTGGACTGCTGCCCCCCTCTGGTGGCTCGGAGGTCACAGCAGAGCCAGAAACTTTTACAGAACATGTAGGGCAGTGTGTTCTCCTTAACATATTTATACAAACACATCAGCAGAGAGAAGACGGAGGTTCAGGGTTAAACTCTCCTCGCTAAAGTTCATGTTTGGGGCTCTCTGATGGGCGGAGACAAACGCCATCACGTGACAAGAACAAGACGTTAAACCGAACCTGAGCAGAGTTGATCCACCCACAGCAGGAGGTCAGTCGTGATCTGTTCAGAGAGACGCCTGTGATTACTATTTCCACGCCCCTGTGTATTCAGCGCTGGTGCCAAATGCAGTGATGTCATTGGTCAGGTCT